GAGGTGTCACCCCCCCCCCATTACAGTACATTGTTACCTGACAAATTATTTTTCTAAAACGTTTACATTTCTCTTTGGATCAAAACATACTGAACTAATCCATAGTATATGATCAATTTACAATTCTTCATTAAAATGGCTGGAAGTAGAACAAAGCTCAATGCTCAACCATGGGCACTCAAAGAAAAATCATTTTAATCTCTTAAACATCAAATGTGGTATGGTACATAAATTTATAATCCAAATGCCTACAAGAATGAGGCAGGAGGAGATCATGAGTCCAAGGCTAAACTAGGCTTCATAATGAGAAAAAAAAATATGTTATATACCAGACTGGATCTGATTTAAATTGGCTGGTAGTTGAGTCCAGAAAAAAAAATTAGATGGAACTCTAATGATGGAGGAAGGTAATTGATTAATTATAATAAACCAACTGCTTGGCCTCATAGCTTAGAACATAGGTGGGTGGAATAAACAGAATAGGATGCTGGGCGGAAGAGGAAGTGAGGTCAGACTCTGCTCTGCTCCCGGAGAGACCCGACAGTCAGCTCTCCTGGGTAGACACAATGATGGATGGAGGCTAGAATCTTCCCGGAGCGCACCTTGGGGTGCTTACACACATCATTAGAAATGGGCTAGTCCAGGTGTGAGAATTAGCCTGTAAGGGCTAGAGTTCATGGGCCAAGCAGTTCTTAAATGAATACAGTTTGTGTGTTGTTATTTCGAGCATAAGCTAGCCAAGCGGCCGGGGTGTTGGGGACGCAGCCCCACTGCTCTTATTTCAACAACTGTGGAATAATCCCTCTGTACACTGTGAATGTATATTACTCTGACTGTTTAATAAAAAAACTGGCTGGACAATAGCTGAACAGAATAAGGTTAGGCAGGAAAGCCAAACTCAGAATTCTGGGAGGAAGAAGGGTGAAGTCAGAGGAGACACCAGCAGATACAGAGAAAGCAGGATATGTAGAAAATGAGGCAACAAGCCATAAGCCACATAACAAAGGATACATAAGAAATATGGGTTACTTTAAGTGTAAGAGTAAGCTAGTAACAAGCCTGAACTATTGGCTGAGCATTTGTAATTAATATAAATCCCAGTGTGTTTATTTGGGAGCTAATGGTGGGGCAGAAACTTCTGCATACAAATGGCATTCTAAATGTGGGTCTGGAATTTCCGCACAAGATCTGCTAAAGTTTAAATAAGGATTCTAAATATGCAAAAATGGAGTCATGTATGGCTTCTTGGTAACTGACTTTAAAGGTAGGTTCTGTTTGCTAGTGGTAAGCAGAGACATGTTTCCTTTAAGAGACAGCTTTCTGTCTCAATGCTAGTGGCAAAAAACAGCATGGCTCTTTTAAGAGGCCCTGCTACTGAACAATTAAATGGGATTTATGAGCACCAGGGTGTGCACTGCTCAGTGACAGCATGGACTCAAAAACTCCCCAGAGTTGGGACACTAAACATGGCATCGCTCCACGAGGAAGCTAGGTTCCCAGGGAACCAAGAGGGGCAGAGTCAGCCACCAAAGCAGAGGCTTTGGTCCTAGCCATGCAGATTAACAGTTTAAAGACTCATTCTGTCAGAAGAAGATTACAGATATACAATAAAAAGAGATTCAGATGGAAAAAAAACCCATGGACTTGGGAGAGAAAAGAGAAGGTATAGATAGTTATAAAAAAGAAACATATTTTTAAAATATTAGTTAAAGTCCTTTAAAAGGGAGTAAAGTGATAGAAAAAAAATAAGTCACATAAAGATGAAAATGCACAGAGTCTGGATTCTATGTGCTATTGTGTTGTCTTTAAATGTTTTTACTGCTAAGGGACACTGGTTTATAAAAGGTACTAGATTAAACTGGCTGACATATTTTAAAAATAAAACATATAGTTATCCTCCTGGATATTGGAAGTTGACAAGATTGCCGGGCAAAAGTTGGGAGCAGGGGGTTGGGATGGATTGGGGGGAAGGGGAGATGGGGAGAGAGAAGGGAGAATGGTAGTACTGGGGAAAGCTTGGGGGAGTGGGATAATTGAGATGGAGGAAGGGTGGATATGGGAGCAGGGAAGAAGTTATCCTAACAAAGGGAGCCATTTTAGGGTTGGCTAGAGTCTTGGCTCTAGAGGGGTTCCCAGGTGTCCAACGGGATTTCACCAACTAGGTCCATGGGCAGCAGAGGAGAGGGTGTCTGAACTGGCCTTCTCCGATAGACACAGTGATGAATATCTTACATATCACCATAGATCCTTCATCTGGCCAGGGATAGAGATAGAGATAGAGATAGAGATAGAGACAGAGACAGAGACAGAGACAGAGACAGAGATAGAGATAGAGATAGAGACAGAGAAAGAGACCCACATTAGAGCACTGGGCTGAGCTCCCAAAGCCCAGATGAAGAGCAGAAGGAGGGAGAACATGAGCAAGGAAGTCAGGACCACGAGGGATGTGTCCACCCGTGGAGACAGACGGTGGGGCTGATCCAATGGGAACTCACCAAGGCCAGCTGGACTGGATCTGAACAAGCATGTGATCAAACCGGACTCTCTGAATGTGGCTGACAATGAGGGTGGACTGAGAAGCCAATGATAATGACACTGGGTTTTGATTCCACTGCATGGATTGGCTTTGTGGGAGCCTAGTCAGTTTGGATGCTCACCTTCCTAGACCTGGATGGAGAGGGGACCTTGAACTTCCCACAAAGCAGGGCACCCTGACTTCTCTTAGGACTGGAGAGCGAGAGGGAAAGGGTGTGGGGGAGGGGGAGGGAAAAGAGAAGATGGGAGGAGGTGGAAATGTTAATAAATAAATTTAACAAAATAAAATTAAAAAAATAAAATATAAAATATAAGGTACTAGATTAAACCAGCCGACATATTTTAAAAATATTTTGACTTCAAAATTTAAGTCAAAAGATATGTTACTTTGGGAAAGGGGTTATGTTATTTCTACAGAAAATAAAAGATTGTGGATTTATTCAAAATTAAGATGATCAGGTTTTATTGAGGAAGAACCCTATGAAATCCTGACTCCAAATAAAGAAATAAACCTAGAAGAACTGCAGGGCACACGATGTATATTTTACCTGCTTAAACACATAACAAAAAAATCATCTTTGGCTTAATAATCTACAATGCACAGTTTATATAACTATTAGTACAGATATGTATGTTACCTTTAAAATTTTATGTATTTTCAAAACAAGGGTACCAGACACCAATAAAAACGAATGGCCCAGGTGATCCAGCATCCAGAACATGCTGGGAGGAAGCAAGGCAGAATCAGAGGAGACACCAACAGACATAGAGGAAGCCAGATGTGCAGAAAATGAGGTAACAAGCCATGAGTCACAAGACAGAGGGTAGAAAAGAAATGAGTTAATTTAAATGTAAGAGTTAGCTAAACAAGCCTGAGCTATTGGCCAAGCATTTGCAACTAAGCCTCAGTATTTATTTCGGAGCTGCTGCTGCTGCTGTCTACAGAACTCACCTTAAACAGCATTCAAAATAGTTTCTGAGTGATCCTAACCATGCGAGTCCTTCAGTTTTGTTCACAGCAAAATGTCACATGCTAGGTAGTCCCTGACAAAAGGACTGCTGTTAATCTGTGAGCACCCACGACAGAACACAAGTGTGCAATCCCCCCTCCTTTAAGTATACTTAATTTTTTAACATTACATTTATGGGGATTGGACAGATGACTCAGCAGTTAAGAGCATAGGCTGGGGTTCAATTCTCAGCATCCACATAGCAGCTCAAAACCTGTAAATCTAAAAGCCCCCCTTTGGCCTCTGTCGGCACCAGACCCTCAAGTGGTACACAGATATATATGCAGGTAAAACACCCATACACATAGTAATAAATTTAAATTATATTTATGTGTTATGTGAGCTCACACACTGTAACATGGATGTGGAGATCAGAGGACAACTTCTGGGAGCCAGTTCTCATCCTCCACCGTGTAAGACCAAATTCAGGTTGTCAGGTGACACATGCCTGACCTGCTGAGTCATCCCATAAGGCTTGCAGACTCTTTAAAGCTGTCTTAACCTCATTAATAAAGGAGGGACTCTAATGGCCTTATCTCTTAAAGAACCCATTACCACACTGCTTGAACTGGGGTAGAGAGTCTCCTTCCAAACTCAGCAGTAATTACTAGAAGAAAATTAGAAACACTGAATGTCAGTAGTTTTATTAGTAATTTACATATTTGAAGAAATTATTAACAAAACAAATTTGTCAGTTTTTTTAAAGTCACACAAAAGGAAATAATGGAAAATATTGCTTTCGGGTTTGTTATAAACAATTTCACTGGGATGTGGGAGCTGTAGGCAAAGGCTGCTTGCTTGTTCCCAGCTGCCCAGACCTGAAATAAGTACACAGAAACTATATTAATTACAACACTGCTTGGTCAATAGCTTAGGCTTCTTATTAACTAACTCTTACATCTTAAATTAGCCCATTCCTATTATTTTGTGTATAACCACAAGGCTCGTGGTTTACCGGCAAGGTCCCGGGGCTTCTGTCTCCTTTGGTGGGTACATGGCGTCTCCCTGACTCTGCCTTTTTTCCTCCTCTATCTACTTGGAATTCCTGCCTGACTCTATCCTGCCCTGCCATATGCCAAAGCAGCTTTATTCATTAACCAACAAAAGCAACACACATATACAGAAGGACTTCCCACACCAGGGAGCCAAGTTTATTAAACTGAAAAAAAATTTCAATGTCTTTGGAACCTAGAGCTTTAAAAATAATATGTGAAAATACTATTTGTGGGGGGGGGGTCAAAGTTCAAATAAGTCATGCTTTTTTTTTATTATTCTTGCTATTACAGACTTGATGGCATTCATTGGTGGGGACACATAACTTCTTGCATGGATTAGACACCAAGGGACTAACCTGAGCATATAAACTAGAAATGGAGAAGAATGAGATAAAGTAGGACATTACTGAACTGCTTAACAGGCAAGCTGTGCACACTTCCTAGAAGCCAGAAAGCAGAGCTAATAAAGACTGGTCTTCTTCATCATCCTCAAAAACTCTTCCTCGTTAATCTCTCCGTCACCATCACGGTCCGCTTCATCGAGCATTTCCTGTAACACGAAACGTGACACGGTAGACTGAAACCATTAAAAACGCCTCACGATGGAAATGCAGCAGGAATTTTTGTTTTGACTGTGTAAGTTCAACTAAGCTACACAAACCGTGTGAAACTACACACACGTCATAATTACAAAATAAACAAGATTTACCTGCAATTCTTCTTCTGTTAAGTTTTCCCCTAGTTCCTTGGCAACCCTCTTGATGTTATTCAGTGATATGGTGCCAGTAGCATCGTCATCAAATAATTTAAAAGCCTTCAGTATCTCTTCTTTCTCATCCTTTTCATTCTTTAGGAAATGAAATGTCATGGGTTAATTTGTTTATTTATTTGTTCTATCACGCTGGACTTAGTAGGTCTGTAATTCTAGAGCTGTATGTGCAAATTTGTACCAGGAGGCTGAGTTCTCAGCCTAGAACCCCTTTCACAATTATTCCGACGTGCCCACACCTGCCACTGAAGCACATCAGACAGCAAGCTCCAAGATCCAGGGGTGTTTTCAGGGGCAGTGGCAAAAGTGGGCACTCAGTGATTGCCAGGGACAAGACTTCAAGTTTGGGCTTCTTCCATCTTGCCCTCTGTCAGTACTTCCCAAGAGAAGTCTATTCTACAGTCTTTACCACCCTGAAAACATCCATTCTTGCGGTGTTATAGTATCCCACGCACCCGTGAATACCCATTTCCAACCCCTCCACGAAATCTCTATGCTCCATACCCAGACATGCACAAGTCTCTGAGAGCATTTCTTTGAAAAGTAGAGTGACTATACCATTTTCACACTCATAATGGCAAAAAAATCTTCAAAACAAATCGTGCCCGTCCCTTCTCTGTCGATTTCCGCTATCAGTTGTCTAATTTCCTCCTTCTTTGGCTCAAATCCTAAGGCCCGCATTGCAATCTGCAACAGGAAGGGAACGTATTTTAATATGCCGTGATCTCATTTTGAGCTTTTAAGTTACTAGTTAATAGCTTCTTTGTTCTCTAACAAAATCTGAGCATAGGGCCATCCTACTATGACAGAGTACACAACCTTGATAATTCTGGGTCTTGACTTACCCATCAACCAAGGGCACAACTAAAGCGTTAAAAGATATTGTATTGTTGACTCAGGGCAGGTAAACATACATACCTTTCAGAAGACTACCATTAAAGGTATAAAGAGTACCACAGAGACAGGTTATGGGCAAGCCTAGTGGTAGAGCCCTGGGTTCCATCCCCACAAACCAAACACACACACACACACAGACACACACACACACACAGACACACACACATGCACAGAGACACATACACATGCACACACACAGACACACACATGCACACAGACACACACACACACACACACACACACACACACACACTAAAGTGGTTTTTCAAATGTCCTAAAAATAATTCCAGGACCTTCAGTTCTTTCACATCTATGGTTCCAGACCCATCCACGTCGAATAAGTCAAAGGCCTCTTTTATTTCTTTTTTTTGGTCATCACTCAATTCTACTTTTGCTGCTTTTTTCTTCCATTGGTCTAAAGTTGTTCGATAGCTGGATGCCTGCAATAAGTATACAAGTGGGTGAAAAACTCTATTACTAGAATGTGCAAATTCAAGTATCCCATTTCCTTCTATAGAATGAGTGTGTTCCCCACCCCCTCCTTGTTGCTTTTTTTTTTTTTTTTTTTTTTTTTTTTTTTTTTTTTTTTTTGTCTTTTGAGACAAGGTTTTCCTATGGAGCCCCAGACTGACTTGGAACTCTCAATCCTCCTGCCTAAGCCCTCTGAGTACGGTTATGACTCTCTTGATAGAAAGTTTCTTGTTATTTCTTTTTTTCATTTAGATTTTCCTCATAAAACCAGAGCCTCTGAAGGGAGAAGCAGCTAAGGAAGATAGCATAGAACTGTGTGGCGTTGTCTCACAAAGCAGTCAGTCTCAGTTCTGCGGGAAAGTATTAACTTGAGGAATGTGTGGTCACATACGTATCCCAGTGTTTGCCGGAGGAATGCTTACAAGAACACAATTATCACCCCGCACTCTCCCTCTGCTAGCAAGGGCCCTAGGCTACCGAAGCCCAAAAGTGAAAAACCATGGTTTTGGTGAACAGCTACTCCACAGTTCTGGATGAGAATGTTTGGCTTAGTATGTGAAAGATAAAGGTCTGTTTGCTTCTTTCTGTCATCAAGCTGGGCCACAGAACCACTATAGATTCTTCTCTCAGCAGGTGGAAGTGATAAGGTCCTGGAGGTGGCTGTGGATCTAAGCGGCCTGCTTTATATTAGTTATGTGCTGTGGATTCTTGGTTCTAGAGCTGCGAATTTTGATGAGTAGTCTTCTTAGATCCTAGGGCAGCCATCTGAGTCTGCCTTTTCTCAGGAAGAAGTCAGTGGTCCCGTATCTGTGAGTGGCCTGAGTTGGTGGGCCCCTGACCATCAGGACTGAGTCAGTGACCCCTTCCCGTCTGCGGCTGAGTTGATGGCCGCTGGTTGTCGGTGGCCCGCGTCCTTGCATCCCTGTCTTGAAGCTCCTCAGTTTGGGCACCGGCCCCTGTGTCTCTGGGGCGGTATATCTTTATGTGGACCATTCCTCATAGATTGCTGGCGTTGGAGGATAAACGGAAAGGGAGACCCATCTCTGTCCCCTGGCCTAGTCACTAAGGGCATCCAAGGATCCTGGCACGAGAGTCAGAAAACTGAGAAGAACACCCGGGTCCCACAAAACTCACCATGACCCCAACCCGCTCCCCAGCCTCAGCCCGCGCAGCCCAACAACCACCCTCCCCTTCCTGGCAGGCGCTGGGGGCGGGCCGTTGCTAAGGGCGCGCAGGGTGCGCAGGCCCTCCCACTCGCTCCCGTGATTGACGGGCATTGCGCCCAATGGAAAGGAAGGAGTGCTTGGCTCGCAAGCTGCGGCTGGGCTGGCTCGGTTCCGGCGCTGTGTGGAACGGCGCGCGGTGAGGAGGGTCGTGGTCCCCTCGGGCCAGAAGGGCAGGGAGGGAGGGAGCGAGAGCCCTGGCTCGCGTGCCTTCAGACCCCGCACACCGGAGCAACCGTCCTGCGGCCTTCCGGCCTCAGAGCCGCTCGAGGGTACGCGGCGGCGCGAAGCCCGAGGTGCTGCGTGGCGCTCGCAGACGGGGGCGGGGGGTGGTGCTCGCCGCGCGCGGGGTCCGCGCGGGGTCCTCGCGGGGTCCCCGGGGACCGAGGGTGGCTAGAGCCAGACTTTCTCCTCGGCGGGAGAATGCAAAGCAGTCGCTTCCTAGCGTGCTGAGTAAAGCAGGCACATTTCCCAAAGCCTCCGTCTCACCTCGCAGTTTGTAGTCCTTAAATTTCTCCTTAGGCTCCTGGGGAATAGGTAAGTTTATCCTGATATTAGAAGCCATTTTTCCCGTCTTAAGTTCTCCCAGTGTGAATTCAGAAGATACAAATTCAAAATATGTTGTGAATGAAGTAGTAGTATTAAAGCATTTAGCTATAATCTATTTGTATCTCATCTGGAAAGTTGGCCAGTTTTCAAAGTCATATTTAACACTAAAGAAACTTCTGAAACCCAGAAACGAATATTATATGTGTGTGTGTATAGGTATATAGACACATACGTATGTACGTGTGTATATATATTACTCACATACAAATAATATATACATATATATGATTACTACAGTTAAACCAATTTTACAGTACTTTTCTTTAGGAATTTGGATATTCTAGTTTTAAATTTTATTTTATTTTTTTTTTTTTCGAGACTGGGTCTCACTATGAAGCTCTAGTTGTCCTGGAACTCACTAAGTAGACTCAGACTCAGAGATCCACCTGCCAGTATACCCAGCTAAAAAAAAGTAATGCTAAGTTCAGATTCTAATTTCTAGACCTTGATTAGGATATCCCAATCTTGAAAAGTGACCATTACTCTTCTGTACATAAAACTTTAGTAATAGCTAAGCAAGATAGTAAAGCCTTACACATTATTAAACTACCGAATTTACACAGCGCACTCTACCTGTCATGCGCCATGACGGCTACTGGTGAGCTTGAAAGAAACTTAGTAAAAAGTAGACGTTTACTTTGGTGCAGTTGATCATTTAGTTATGTTTTTTGTTTTTCTCAGAGACAGTTCTAGTTATCATTTGAAGGAGGAGGCCCCTTTAAAAGCAATCAAAGGGCCCCGGCTAAGAGGTCCAAAGGTACTTGAAAGAGGAACAGTAGCAGTAACATCCCTTTGCTCCTTTAATATTTATACTCAACTTTGGGATGAGCTGGCACTTGTCAAATGTTTGCTGAATGCTATGCTAAATTGTCAGCAGTGTTCTAGATGCTGGGAATCTAGTCTCAGTGACTAGATTCTAGTCTCAGTGACTAGAATTGTCATCTGGAAAATCGTGTCAACAGAAAACGCTGGCCTGTGCGTCATTAGATGTACAATGCTCATTTTGTAAAGTTTCAGAGGAGAAGAAAGTTTATCTCCTTGGAGCAGATAAACAGTATCATATACAAGGGAAAAGGGTTATGGTTTGTAATAGGTTGACTAGGGTAGACTTCCCTGAAAAGGAAATTTGGGGAAGCATTTCAAGATAGTTAAGGCAGAAGATTTCCTGGAGAGGAGCATTGCAAAGGAGAGACATGTAGAAATACTGAGGTAGGGAGCATGCCTTACATATTCTAAAAGCACACAGGACGTCTGAGCAGGACAGAACAGATAAGCCGGGGAGGAGGAAGTGTGGGTTTTAGTGCTGTGAGGATATGGCCTTTACTTGGGTGAGTTAGGGAGACTCAGATTCTAGTGTAGAAGGGGTGTGACTCCCTTTCATGGGAGTGCCCGTGCTGGACAAAGGGCCGAAGACTATTCTGAGAGCTTCCAAGCAGGGGATGTCGTGGTTAGACTGTCGTGTTACCTGTAGACTGGAGGTGAACAAACTTGGTTCTCATGATGAAAATTCTAGTTATACCCATCAAGAAATAAAGTATAACCCCTGAAAAGCATGTCTAAGTGTTCTAACCTGAATATTTAGCCAAGGCAAGTTACGGTCTTTGGAAAGATTTTTGAAGTCAACCTCCTAGTTAAATAATCTGATTCTCCCTCTCATTGCAGATAATAAGTTGAGGAAACAGTATTCTGGCATTGGCCTGTTTGTGGAAGGCGTCAGAGCGGGGCACTGCAGGACGACAGTCGGGTTGTGTTGGTGCGGTGCCGGGAACAGTTACCAGAGGTATTTGATCACTTTTGAAATCACCATCTTCCCATCCTCTTCACTGTTATCCCCAGCCTTATTATTCTGAGTTTGTATTAGTGATTAGCCCGTTGCAACCTCTTCAGAACCATTTAGGACTTCTCCCAAAGCTAGGACTGCTAAGACAATTTTTCAGTTATTGCTCAAACTGGAAATAGATTCAAATGCTAAACCATCTCATTTCAGTATTAATGTTGATATTTGTTTATATATGACTTTTCTTTGCAGATGCTTGAAATTTATCCTGTGTCTGGACAAACCTTTTGTAACATAATTCCATACAGACTGAGTTTGAAATACCTATGGGTTTTTCCTCTTGTTCCAGGTAGTTTTCCACTCACAGAGTGGTGTCCTTAATTATGATCTAGAAATAGACCATAAGCAGAACTTCTATCACAGCCCCCACCCCCGTAAAAGACATAGACCCTGGCAAGACAAGGGTCTCTACAGGGCTTCGAAGAGTCTAAAGAAGAGAGAATGACTTGGGGTGGAAGTGAAGCAAAATGTAGCTGATGCAGGAATTGACAGTGTAAACTTGGGCCGTGGTTACACGGGGATACCCTTAATGTGAGGAGATTTTGCCTATGTTTCTCAATATCATGCTTCATTTTCCACAAATAGGTTAATTGTTTTAGTATCGACCTTATATTTTTGTTGTGATTTCATATATGATATGTTTCAAGCATCTTATATAAGGTAAACTCAAATTTTGTTAGCAGTGAAAAACAGCCAGACTTTTAAACTTGTCCTTTCAACAAATTTTTCTCCATCAACCGGATATTCATGAAGGGAGAAATAGAACAATGTCTCCAAAAAATGAGATTATGGCAAATTATAAATATAAATGTAAAGAAAAGAACAGTATTTAAAACAAATTTCCTGGCTCCAGAACTTAACTGAAAGTTAGAGCTTTTGTAACAATATGGTGTTGGCATAAAATGATTACATCCTCCAGTGCAGTTGCATTGACAGCCCAGAAGTAAACCCATGTGTGTATAGCAAGTAGCAAGTTCATTTTTGATAAGGGTACTAAGAACATACAAGAGAAAAAAATAGTTCGTTTAACAGGAGGTACCGAGACACCTGGAGAGCCATATGCACAAGAACCCCCGCCTCACACCATATGCAAAAGTTAGTCTCAAATCAATCAGTAAGCTAAATAAAGAATAGAATTCTGAAGAAAATACTGGGTTAAGTATGTATCACCTTGGATTTGGCAATGGATTCTTCATATACCACCAAGAACATGAGCTACAGCATCCACAAATAAGTATTAAATTTTACCACCACTAAAAGAACGGTATTTAAAACAGAAATTTCTTGGCTTCAGAACTTAACCAAAAGTTACAGTTTTTCTGAGTGAAAGAGTGTTATCAAACAGCAGAGACGTCCTATAAAACACTAGATTGTATGCAAATCAGATAGGGTAGCCCCTCAACATCCATCCATAAGGGAACGATTCTAAGACTCCACCATAGAAGCCAAGTCCACAGATACATAAGTGCTTTATATAAAATGGTAGAGTACTTAAATCTAGCCTATACACATACTTAGGTATATCCTTAAAATTAATATAATAATAAACTAAGAAAATATAAACACTAGTTTCATAGTTGTTATAATTCATTGCTTAAGGAATGATGACAGAATATAAGTTACATGCTCAAAACAGATGCAGAGTTTATTTCTGTGTTTTTCAAACATTGTCTTATGAGTGGTTGTTTGGATCCACGAGTGTGAGGTTAGCTGTTGTTTCATAGGGGTTTGCTGTCTGACGTGTAAAGACTGCTTCCAGCTCAACAACAGAAACCTTTTAATAGCCCGCTCTTAAAATAGGCAGAAAACTTCAGTGGGCTTTTCTCCAAAGAAGATAGACACATGTCCTAGGCCCATGAAAGGATGTTTAATATCATTAGTCATTAGGAAAATGGAAGTCAAAACCACAATGAACTGTCTTTTCACATCTGCAAGTGTGTTTAAAGCCTGACAGAAGCAAAGTTGTTGAATGTACTAGTGACTGAACAGTGCTGTCTGTCACACACGAACACACAAAATTCATACCCACCCGGAAAGTAGTCTTTGTAGAGGCAATTAGTTGAGATGAAGTCATACTGGGTCAGGGTAGTCTGTAAGTGTAGTAACTGGTGTTTTAATTAACAAAAAGGACAATCGAAGCAGTCAGATATTAAAGTTATGCAACTAAAAGCCAAGGAATGCCAGGAGCAACTAGGAGTTGGGAGAGAAAAAAAGGTACCCTTCCCTAGAGTCCCGAGGGAAAGCACTGCCCTGCAGCGCCGTCACCTCGCGAGTATGACTGTGTGTTGTTGTCGTTGTCTCCTGTAATCTGGAGTAGCAGCCCAGGAAAACTAATACAGGAAGAATGTGGAGAAATCAAAACCTTTGTCCATTGCTACTGGCAATGCTCTACTGTTTGGGAAAACATCTGGGCAGTTCCCTAAGCTAAACATAGAGTTACCAAATGACCCAGGAATTTCACTTCTGGATTTGTAGCTAAAAGATCTAGAAACAGGTTCAAAAATGTGCTTGTACAGAATCTTCACAGAGGTCAAGCACACAAGCTCAGTAGCTAAAAGGTGGAAACAGCCCAGATGTGTAGCAGTGGGGAAATAGGTGTATAAAATGTGGTACCTGCCAAGGAATATTATCCTACTAAGTGAATTATTGTTAAGTAATAAATGTGGAAGAACCCCAAATATAAAATGTGGAAAGGTCACATATTCCGTGATTCCTTTTATATAAAATACCAAGAATAGGTCAAAACAGACTGCAAGCAAATTAGCAATTACCAGTTACAGAAAGAAACAGAGTTACTGCTTAGCAGTTTTCAGACTTTCTTTTGTGACTATTAAATCTTTAGGAACAAGATAGAGGTGGCAGTTATATAACATTGTGGATATACTAAATCTAAATTGTATTCTTTAAATTAAGGTCACTTCATTTTATCAAGATCAGTAGCCTTTCAAGGTAAGTAAGATGAAGTCAGAGAGAGTCAGAGGATTGGAGGATATGATGGATAGAGTGATTTAAATCATTGACTTTAGAGTTTAGTAGGGAGATGATAATACAGGGGAAGGAGGTGAAGGACAGAAAAAGTAAGGCCAGGTAGATATGATGAATCTAAGGATTGCTCAAATTAAATCTGAGGGTATATTTTAATATAATGTTTTGATGTTATCAAGGAATATGTGTATTCTAAGTGTGTATTCTAAGTGTTTGTTATGTAACACAGAAAATTTCATTGAAAAAAAAAAGGATTTGGGAGTGAGTTCATATAATGCTGTAATTATTGCTGGGCCTGCCCATCCTTCCTACCTTTGTTAGTCCTTGAAATCCTGTAGGAAGCTGTTCTGGAGGAATAAAACCTGTGCTCAAGCCTAAAAGATGTGTGGACTGTAGAGTTTTTCCCTTCCACAGATGAGTGTCGCTAGTTCAGAAACAAATTTACCAGAGTTACGACCTGTATTAGAACAAGATTCTGATTAAAAATATTCAAAGAATCGTGAAAGCCTTATAGTATCATCTAGCTTCAGTTCCTCATCTAATGGAGTTCACACTTCCTCGGGTAGTAGTAGTTTTATTATAGATGGTTTCTCAGTTATAAAGTACCATTGTTAGCTGGGTACACACCTTTAATCCTAGCTTTAATCCCAGCACTCAGGAGGCAGAGGCAGGCGGATCTCTATAAGTTCGAGGCCAACCTGGCCTTCAGAATGAGTTCCGGAAACAATAGAACTTCACTGAGAAATCCGGTCTCAAAAAAACCAAAAGAAAAAGCAAATTAAAAAAAAAAAATGAGAAAGCACCATTGTTTAAAACCTTTTTAGTATTGAACTAATAATCTTTCTCTTCGTCTCTTGATATTCATTTTGGAGGTGATTTCTAAAATATTATCTTGAATAATTCCAGTTGCCTTTGGATCTCCTTTAAATAGTACGCTTTTTCCTTCGTAATGTAATCAATTCCCAAATCTTTCTCCCCATTATCTGGCTTCATAATTTTAGAAGATTAAGTGGCTGTTTTATTTTGAGTCTGGTACTTGGTTAGTCAGTCAAACTTAAAAGGATGGCAATATAACTGAACGTACATAAAACTGTGCTCTCCACTGTTCTGAGCACTGTCTCCTCATGCTAGCTGTGAAGTAGCTTTTGTGATTAGTCTCTTTTCCCAGATGTGTAAACTGAAGGGCTAGCTGCCTGTTAGCAGTAGAGCAAAATTCAAGCCCAGGCTCAGGTTTAAAAAGCTACACAAGTGATTTCTTATTCTTAACCCAAGTGGTTTCCATTATAGGATAAAGCTTATTTCTTAACATAACATGAAATATCCTCATAACCCAATTCCTCCTCTACTGGAGCCTTAGGTTCTCCAACTCCTTGCCGTGTGTGCCATATTCTCATAATTCCAGACTCCTGGTACACAGTGCTTTTCCTTTTCTTTCCCTCCCTCCCTCCCTCCCTCCCTCCCTCCCTCCCTCCCTCCCTCCCTCCCTCCTTTCTTTCTTCCTTTCTTTTTTAACATAGTTGTACATTCACTACCACCCCCTTGCTCAGTTTGCACAGTTATCCCGCAGATGACATGATGGAACACACCTGTAATTCTAGCACTTTCAAGGTGGAGAAAGGGCGATCACAAATTTAAGACCATCTTATATAGTAAAACCCTGTCTCAAAAGAATTGTAGCACAAATGTTTTAAGTCTCATTCTGCAGATTGCCTTCTGGAAACCTTGCTTGTTGCCTGTATTCCTCTCCATTTCCTCTGCCATGAGGAATAGTCATTCCTCCACCACCCTGTCCCACGCCCTTGATTTATTTACCCTTCTGCATCATCACACTGATCACAGTAATTGAAACTCTGTCCAAAAGTGTGAGCTGTGTTTTCTTCTCTCTATAGAGCCCTTGTCATCAGTCACCCAGCAAAGTTTCAAGTGTTGGTTTATTTGCAGATAATTGCTCGTGGTGATGGCTTGCAGCGTCATAAACAAAAGAAGGCACGTGGGACTTCAACAGCTTTCATCATTCGCGCAAACAGGAAGAAGTTTCCTAGGCCCAGTAAAAGCCACCAAGTTTATTACAGATGCAGAGTGTCATGAGAGTGTGTTAATCAGCTCAACAGTCAGACTTCTTGAAGGTTTGGATTTAACCTGTGCAGTGGGGCAGCTTCTCAACGAAGCAGTTCAAGCACAGCATGGTGCATATAGAATTGGAACCAGCACTCTCTTGTTTCTTGTTGGTGCATGGAGCAGAGCTGTTGAAGAATGTCTCCATCTGGGTGTTCCCACTACAGTAATAGTGTCAGTAATGTCCGAAGGCTTGGACTCTTGCATTGAAGCAGTAGTTTCCCTTCAAGTACCCATATGCCATGTATTTGACCACATGGACAACTCAAGTATAGTTTACAAACTTGAAACAGTTGATGTCAACTTGCATCCTTCAGGTCCCGGGTTGTTACAGGAAAAGCATGATTTCAAAAATGCTACATCTCAGTTATTGTCCTCTGGGAGACTTGCTGCATCACCCAAATTCTTCAAAACTCAGGCTAAGGTTGAAACAGAAGAAAACATACCACAGACTCTGCGAAACAGCCTGCATGCAGATTCCTTCTGCAGAAAGTCAGCATTAACTCACAGTAGGCATTTTACTAGGACAGATAATAGCCACGGGATAAGCAGACCTGATGGATTTCTAGAACAGTGTGGGTCATCAACTCCCAGAACTTCTTCATGTAATGCATGGATGGAGTTAGCAGTCGGCTTGAGCCATGGAGACCACAGCATCATGGCATTGGCAGAAGCAGCTGTGAGGCTGCAGTGGCAGAGTGTGTACCTGCAGCAAGACAACTGTAAGGTACCATTTGTGTTTGATGTTTCAAGACTCCTCACTTGCTGTCTCCCGGGCTTACCTGAAACTTGTTCCTGTGTTTGTTTAGGATATGTCACTGTTGTACCCATGTCTATTCTTGCTCTGATAAAGGAATTGCAGGATCAACCTTTCCGGGTGATTCTCATTGAGGGTGACCTCACAGAGAGTTACCGCCACCTGGGATTTAATAAGTCCGTAAATATTAAGACTAAGTTAGTTAGTGGAAAGCTTCCAGAAGATAGTGCAGAAGAACTGTGGGCAGAAAGTGTGTTGCAGGTGTTAACCCAGTTCAATGTGAACCTCGTCCTGGTACAAGGAAATGTATCTGAGCACCTAACTGAAAAGTGCACACACAGTAAGCGGCTGGTGATTGGGTCCGTGAACGGCAGTGCGTTGCAAGCGTTTGCAGAGGCCACAGGAGCAGCACCAGTAGCCTATGTTACACAAGTGAGCGAAGACTGTGTGGGCTCTGAGGTCTCCGTGACCTCCTGGACAAGTCCTCATGATGTGAGCGGGGGCAACAGAATGGCAGTCTTGTTAAAAACAGAAAGAATTAATTTGATTACAGCCATACTCACCAGCCCAATAAGTGCTCAGATGGAAGCCAAGGAAGACAGGTTTTGGTCTTGTGTATATCGTTTATATCAGGCCCTAAAAGAGGAGAAGGTCTTCCTTGGTGGTGGTGCTGTTGAATTTTTATGTCTTAGTCATCTTCAGATTCTTGCGGAACAATCTTTAAATAAAGAAAATAATGCTTGTTCAGGATGGCTTCCTGACTCTTCCTCTTGGATGGCCTCGTCTCTGTCCGTCTATAGACCGACTGTGCTGAAGTGCATGGCAAGTGGGTGGCGTGAGTACCTGTCAGCTGTCATGTGTAACACCACCACTCACCCATCAGCCGTGGAAGCCAGCACGTGCATTCAACATCATGTACAAAAGGCCACCAACTCTGGCTCCCCTTCATCTTACATCTTGAGTAAATACAGTAAACTAAGTAGTGAACTTTTTCATTCAGGTATTTCAGATAACCTGGAGCTAGTTCCAAGAGTTTATGATACTGTTACCCCAAAGACCGAAGCCTGGCGCCGAGCATTAGACTTGGTGCTCTTAGTGCTTCAGACAGACAGTGAAATAATTACTGGACTCGAACACACACAGATAAACTCACAGGAATTAGATGGAGTTTTATTTTTGTAGGGTCAGCTAAATCTTTAGGAAATAAGCAATATCGTATTAATAAATTTTAAAGTGTGTGGGAGTGTGCATGTATGTCCAAGGAGGCCAGAAGAGGGCACCGGATCCCCTGGAACCACAGTTTTAGGTTTATAAGCTAACCAATGTTGGTGCTGAGAACCCAACTGTGCAAGAGCAGCAAGCCCTCTTAACCTTTTAGCCATTTCTCCAGTTGTAATAAATATTTATAGTCAGGTCATAGTGTCTAAATTATTAGCAGTTGTCAAGAATGAGTTGATGTCTATCAATAGCTACAGTTCTGAATTTTGCCTTATTTATAAGCTAACAAATTAGCCTGTTCTTATTTCACAGGTGCTATAGGATACCCCTGGATTAGAAGCAGAGCGCTTTTGCCATTCACAGCAGAATCTACATTCAGAGTATTGTGTTGGTTTTTGTCTGGCTTTTCTGTCCCACAAGAGCAGCACACAGGGCCAGTGGCAGGACCTAGAACAAGGGTGTTCTCTTGTAAGACAAATGCTGAACTTGTGATATTTACTGCCAAAGCAGAAATAAGTCCACTTATCTGTCCAACAGGAGTGGTTACATCCTTCAACAGTGCTTAAGTCAAACCAGCCGTGGACATGGACTAGATAAAGATTGGCCAAGCTTTTTTATATTCTTTGCATCTATAGTAAGTACAGAGATATCTTTATATTCTTTACATCTGTAGTAAGTATAGAGATGCTGTCTCAGTTACTTTTCTATTGCTGTAATAAGACAGACCAGAGGAACTTAGAAAAAACTTTAATTTGGCTTTATGGTTCAGACAGTCAGAGCCCATGACGACAGAGCAAAAGCATGGTGGCAGTGACATCTGTGAGCCCACATCTTGGTCCCCTAGTAGGAGGTGGGGAGTTGAGGGGATAGTGCAGAGAACTCACCCAGTGTAACACACCTTATCCAATAGGGCCACATGTTCCAGACCATCCCAGATATTTCCACCATGGCCTGCCTTCTTTCCATTATTCTTTAAGCACATCTTTAGAGGACTGTCTTGGTCTTTTTTGTCTTTCATTTTCAATCCCCACAACCAGTATAATCACTATTAACATTTTGGGGATGGTTTCCTAAGGTTTCTTAAATTTATATGTCTGTAAATACATTTTGACCCCAAAGTATAGTGACATTTCAACTGTATTTTAATAAATAAAGACTGCCTGAAGATCTGAGAGTAAAACAGTCTCACTGGTCAGCCTTACCGACCAGGTTATGGTAACACATACCTTTAATCCCAATAGCCACCCTAGTTGCTGTAGGGTGGTGCATGCCTTTAATCCCAGGGTGCACGCCTTTAATCCCAGCCCTGGAGAAGAATATTAAATGGGGGTGAGGGTGGAAGATGGGAGAGACAGCTCTCACACAGTCTCATTCTGAGATTCTAGGAGGCAGGGTCGCCATTTCAGATTGAGGTTGAGGTAAGAGCCAGTGACTGGCTGTTTTGCTTTTTGGATCTTCAGGTTGAACCCCAATTTCTGACCCTGAGTTTTTATTAATTGTGCATCAGCTGTACATATTACAAATTGTCTACTTCTGTGGATTAATCTATTTGGCGTTTACCCAATATTCTTAAGAGTTCAGTGGTGCCACCATCACTCCCGCACAGTGACTCACCACTACCTGTTTATGTGAGTCCTCTGTTCAGCCAGTCCTGGTTTGGAAGACTGTAACAAGTCTTTTTCTGTCCCACCAGCCTGCTCCCAAATAATGACGTGGGGACTTATTATAAAAGCTCGGCCTATAGCTGAGGCTTGTTCCTAACTAGCTCTTACAACTTAAAATTAACCCATTTATATTAATCTGTGTTCTATCGTGTAGCATTACCTCTCTTCCATCTTGCACCTTCTGTTTCCTCTCTGTGTCCCCTGCCTTCTCCTCTTCCTTTCTCTCTCTAGAAATCGCACCTACACCTCCTGCCTGGTATTGGCTGTTCAGTCTTTTGTCACACCAATCATAGCAAATACATCTTCATATGGTACACAGATACTCACATCAGAAGGTGTAGAAAGATCTTCGCAACTTTAAGACTTTGTTGCAGTCTCGTAAAGGTTGTTAATTCTCCCAAGCTTGTATATACATAATTCATCTAGACTTTATCTTGGTAGACTATATGAATTAAGAACCTAAATCTTTTTTAGTATTTACCCACAATATTAGGTTTTTGTTGCTCCTTCAGATAATTCGTAGCAATGAGAAGGAAATGCTGGGGGTGTGGAAGAGAGCCCACATTAGAGATTCATAGCGTTCAGCTATTCATTTATTCATTTATCTGTTTATGGCCACCACGAATGCAGTGCCGCACAAAACACCGTGCAGCATATTAATGAAAAAGTTAACACAGCAGAAACGTGAAGGCAGCATCCTTTTCCAAAGCCTCTTCCTGTGTTGCCCCCGGTTAGCCTCCTGAAGCCACTCTTAGAACACTCAGTACTTGTCCATACTTAGTTCGAAAAGACCTAATGAGACCTTCTTTCCTCTGACCTGTAGGTGGCAGACCTTCCTCTCCTGTGATCCCCAAATTTGTCGTCTTGTTGAAAACCCCCAGAAGGAAAGGAGATTGTTTCAGAGGAGGGTAGCACCAGTCTGCAGGACACTCACTAACCAGGGTTCTGTGGGCAGTTCTCTGTTCCCTGCTTGGGAGGCCTTCCTCTGCGTTAGCAAGCCTTGGCTTGGGAAAGTGAATCGAGTTTCCTCAAACTACTCCCAGGTGACAGTTGACCGCATCACCCTTACTATGACCTCCAGCTCTAATGCTGATTAGTTATAGTAAAGCTCATTTAAAAGGGTAAAAAAATAGAGCTTTTTTTTTTTCCTTAAATAAGGCTAGACTTGAAAATGTGAGTGAGCTTAATGCTGTGAGATTTGGAGACGGCAGAGCTATGTCTGCCTCTCCAGCAGGCATGATAATTGCATGATGTATCCTTTACTATAAAATGGTCTTTTGTGTTAGATGGTTTTGCCTTCTGAGCATGGTTAGGAGAGCTCAGTTATGATGGTAAGCAGGTTAGGTGTTTAAATGCACACAAAGCTTCCAGTTGCCATAGTTCATCGAGATATAACTCATTGTGAGCTAAGGACATCCGTACTGTGTAAAGAGCTAAACCTTACCCTTGGCTGTCGCCCACAGTAGCAAATAGCAGGAATATTTCCTAAGAGTGGAGTGCCAGCTCTGACGTCCACGTCTGTGTGTGTGTCCATGTGAAGTTGTGCCTATTTGACCGCAACACATCATTCAGTCTGTTTCAGACTATTCTGACGTGTGTTTGCCTTTTCTGTTTTTTTTTTTTTTTTTCCATCTTGGTAATCGCATTAGAAAAATTTCCAATGTGTTTATCTGGTGTTCTGAAGAAAATTCTTTATACATGGTGCATGAATTAAAGAAAGCTAAGACGTTCCTGACCTATTAGCAGTATTGAGCAGTGTGGTTTGGGTAGAACTGTTTCCTGTGCTGACCTCTTGAGCAGAAAGTGGGAAAAAGCTATTTCCCAATATGTTTCCACTACGGAATAAATGTCAAATTAGACCTAAGACAAACTAGGTGTAATAGTACAATTCCAGCCCTAGGGAGACTGAGGCAGGAGGAGATCACGTGGGACATGGAAAGATCTTGTCTCCAATGGGGGGGGGGGGACCATTGTAGATATAATGCATTTTTCCTTTATCTCTTGCTCGAGTAAAATAACCACAGATTTCCTAATGTGTTTCAGGAGAGTAAGGATCTGGTGGGGCATCTCTCCAGCTTCAGAACCCAGACCCAGAGCCTGACTCTTGAGCTGGAGCCTCCTGGGCAGCTAGGATTTCTGCAGTGGCTTAGCCTGACTGTGCTGCAGGGTTACCTGCTTTTACAGCTGCTCAGGGCCCATGACCTTTCTTATTCTGGGGAGGAAATACATACAGTTTACTCGGGGGGGGGGGTTGTTTCTGTTTGTTCTTAAGGCAGCATTGTGGGTATCCTAGGCTCTTCACATTTGATGAAGGGGCAAGGGTGTCTCCACTTGCATGTGCTGGCAGTGCAGGTGTGCACCACTATGTCCACTTTGTGCTGTCCTGGAAATGGAACCTAGAGCTGCATACGTGCCAGATAGGCGCTCTGCCAGCTGAGCCACATCCCTAGCCTCACAGAAGTAGTTTGTTCTCTCCATAGCTCATACTAGTGTTTAATAAAAGAGCATCCAAACAAACAAACTGATAACAAAACAAAACCATTGCGTTTGGGAGTACAGTTAGGAAAGCCTTCACTGAGCTCCGCAGGCTTCCTTTGAAACAGGTTGGCTGCTGACAGCATGTGGAACGCACCAGCCTCAGGTTGGGCAAACACCCAGAAGAGTGCCCGGTAATGATGGCCGCTTGTTAATAAATGCCAGTTTCCAGGGGGTCAGAAGGGAGATGGGAGCATTCTATGATTATATAATGGTGGTTGTTCAATAGTAGATGGGCTAAAAACCATTGAAATGAGCGTTTAAGGTGGAGAATTTCATATTTTATATATATCTTAATAAACTCACTAAGACCATTTTTATAATTTCTGAGCCAAAGGGCTAGACTCGGGGTTAGCAGCTGTTTGGGGGAAGAAGGAAACTAGGAAAGCAAGACAAGTAATAGGAGCTGCCTGGTCAGACTCCTTACCTGGTGTTGGGTACAAGATGAAGTAACTTTGTGATCATTTTGTCCTACATATTCATGATTTGTGCTTTGGAAAGACAAGGAATAGTTTAAAGAAGTTCAACCTTCTTCTGATAATGAAGGAGAGACTGACCCAGATTCCACTTTAACATATAACAGAAATAACTCACTGTCGAGAAAAGTCTAAGTTCTTTAAATGACATATTTTGTAGGTCTTTGAAGTGTTGAAGATTATCTAACTGAAATATATCTATATATCTAGAAAACCTAATGTAACTAAAAGTTTGATTATTATAGATGGTTATAACTGTATTTAGCTATAAATTACATTTTTAATGAACTGTATAATCATAATACTTTAAAAAGAGTAGAAATATACATATAACAAAATTGATCATAAATTTGTATCAATAAACCAAAGTTCTTACCAATGTAAAATATTCATTACTGTATCATATCCCCTGCCTTTTGTAGAAAGAGATTGACTATGACTATTAACCATTTACACCCAACCCCTTTTAAATGAAAACAAACATTTATAAACAGACATTTTGGTAATTTGAACATAGTTTTCTCCCAACTGTTTTCTGTTGTTGTTGCATAAGTATTTTTAGGGTTCATGGAGACCTTTGGGGGGGGGATTTTTCCATCAAACCACATTAGCCTGAAAGGAATCCACAGGTTCCCATCTTCTGTGGAAACAAAAGCAGAACCTCCTCTCCAAAGTAACACATTCTTAGGCTCAAAATATGAAATCAGGAAACCTTTAAAATATGTATTTTGGTTCAGCTTAGCAGCCCCCAGAATCAAATGTCTCTCTGCAGTTAAAAAAATTCAAAGGAAACACAATAACATACAGTATCCAGATTCTCTGATTTTTCCATCTTTCCGTGACATTTTTTTTACTGTATTTCTTTTATTTTTATTTTTAATTTTTGGTTTTTTGAGACAGGGTTTATCTATGTTTGTTTGCCTGTCCCACATCTCACCCTGTAGACCAGACTAGCCTTGAACTCACAGAGGACAGTCTGTCTCTGCCTCCCAAGTTTTGGGATTAAATGCATGTGCTACCATGCCCGACTATATTTCTTTTTCAAAAGGACTTTCTCTATCCTTTTTCTTTTCTCTCCCAAGCCTACATATATTTTAAACACACTGTAAACCATTTAGAGGTTTTTTTTTTCATCCAAATCTGTCTTTACTGTATAGATCTTTTATCTTTTTCTGACCACATGAGTCTTTAATTTGCTAAGCAATATGGCTAGGATTAAAGCTGTGGCTTTCGTGGCTGGATTTGTCCGTTTCTTAGCTTCCTAAGAGTCTAGCTTTATGGTAGAGATACTGGCAGGAGCCTTGCTTATTGCCACAACACTGGGGTTTCAAGGTCCCTGCCACCACCAAGAAGCATACTGCCAGCTACTCATAAACACCATATAAGTGTTTGGTGGCAGCGCCTCTTAAAAGAGCTGCAACGTTTTGCAGCTAAAGCTGAGTCAGGAAGACTCTTAGAGGAGCCGTGCTTCCACTTGCTGCCAGCAAACAGAGCCTACTGGAGAAAAAACAGTTAACCAAGAAGCTGTGCTTAACTCTGTTCTTGTCTGTTTAGAATCCTTCTTTAAAAAAAAAAAACAAAAACCATGAAACAAAACAGAAAAGAAAAAAACTTTCTCAGGCTTTATGTGGAAATTCTTGCCAAATGTTTTGGGCGTCATTTCTAAACAGAGACTGCACTTCCATTTCCCAGCTGCCCAGACCCGAATAATCACACAGAAACCAAATTACAACACTGTTTGACCAATGGTTCAGGCATATTTCTAGCTCTTATGTCTTATATTAAATCATTTCTATTAGTCTATGTATTGCCATGTGGCCATGGATTTACCTCATTTCCTATTTGTCTTGTTTCCTTAGTGGCCAGCTGGTGTCTGCTTGACTCTGCCTACTATTTTTCTGTATCTCTGCTTGGATTTCCCACCTGGATTTACTCTGCTAAGACATTGGCCAAAACAGCTTTATTCATTAGTCAATAAAAGTGACATCCCACATCAAACAGCATGTAATATCAGAATGTTTCACCGAGAAGTTTGCACAATGTCTCTGAACTCAGATGAACCGCTTGCTTTGTAAAAATCAGTTCTCTTTTAGGACCTTAGGGCAGCTGGTCAGATAACATTTGAGACTTCATCTGGCCTGTCTTTAACTTGTATCTACTTTTTTCAATATTCAATATTCTCTAAATCAAAATAAGAACAAGATAAAACTCAAGGATGCTTGGATTTCTACACCAGGTATATGGGTTATTTTTCTCATTGCTGTGACTACAGAGGCATGACAAGAAGCATCTTGAGGGAGGGTTTGATTTGACACTACCATGGTGGGGAAAATACAGTGGAGTTCATAGTTGTGGTGTAGGTGGCTGGAACTCCTCTTTCTAACTAAAACCCAGAGATACTGGCTAGCAGTAGGATGGAGCTATAACCCCGCAGGCTGGCTTCCCAACCAACTCACTTTATTAGATATATCCCATGTCCTGAAGGATCCACAACCTCCCAAAGAACACCACCACCAAGTGTTTAAAAGACAAGCCTGTGCGGGCATTTCACATCTATACCTTACACTAGGGTTCTTGCTTAGGAATTTCCCGCAAACTTTGTTGTGGTTTCCATGACTGTTGCCAGTTTCTTTGCCCGCTTGCTGCTAATGTGGCAGTCCTGGACTCTGCTTCCTCCTTCGCTGATGGCTTTTCCAGGCTGCTCCTTTCCTCCCAACTCCATACCACCTTTCATATTTCTCTGGCTCTTCTCATATTTCTAAGAGCTTCAGTTTCCAGAAATGACAATAAAATATTGAGTTCTGGAAAATAACTTCCTTCTGGAGAGGTATTTGTACGCCTCAACATTGAACAGCGCTGACTTCTGCTTCTGTCTGTGGAGCTGACTCTCACATTGCCACCAGTTTCATAATCTACTTTAAATGAAACACATTCCCTTTGAAGTGTCATGAATTTCCAGAACTCTATTCTGTTAACCACCTGTATACTATACCTTTATATTGTTATATGCAAGTATTTATTTATTTATTTATTTATTAAAACATGGCAATTTAAAACTTTCTCTGGTCCCCTTGGCCAGGATATCAACATAAGAATGTATAATATTAACTTTTTCTACTTGTTAGTTGTTCTAATAGTTTTTATCACTGATTGACAAAGCTGTCATATCTTTTATTAATGATACATTTTATTTTAATTTAAGGAAAACAGAATCACATGCAGAGCAGCGCATCTTGTTCCTCAGATGGCCTGTGGAAGCCATGTTTTCATAGCTAGAAGAAACTAGGTTTCCTCCTTTTTAAAAAGCTTTTTCTGTTATTTAAAACTTTTTAGTAGAGTGTTTGTCGTCTTTTTTGTACCAATTGTTCAAGCTAAGCCCTTAAGTGCCCTATAATTCAGTATTAGCACAATTTTAGTATTATTCTTACTGCGTTTAATTGCAAATCTTTGGTAAACGGGGTGTGAAAGAAAGTAACAAAATCCAGAGCATGTCAGATGACCACAGACACGGGTAGTTGTGTGTGCCCGGCTTGTGTCTAATGCTAGAGCCTGTGGGCCACGAAAGTCGCATATCAGATCTCCTGCACATCAGATATTTACATTACTCTTCACAACAGTAGCAAAATTACAGTTATGAAGTAGCAAAGAAAATAATGTTATGGCGGGGGGTGGGGTAGGGGTCACCACAGCACGAGGAACTGTATTAAAGGGTCACAGTACTAGGATGGCTGAAAACCACTGGCCTAGAGGATTCTTAGACGTGATACCAGAAAACACACACTTTGCATATTAAACATGCAGAAGGAGAAAGCCAGCATCTGAAATTGGCTTATTGCTGTATTGCTGGGTGATTCCAGTAATCTCATGTTTATGCT